TTCAGGAATGCACTGTGCAGTTGGGGGTGGGGGGTGAAATATCACAGTCATCTTTCACCTGTGTGCTTTTGGCTCAACATTTGTGATGGAGGGTTACTCTTTTGAGCAAAGAACTGGTGGGTTGTGGGGGCAAGTCCTGCAATTGCAAACCTTCAACCATGAGTCATATGGCTCGGGTTTAAAAAAATATTCCACTTTTCCCAGAGAGCAGAAATTCAACACATCTTCAGCTTACAACAACCATCTTCTCAGAGGAGCAAGCGATAACAGTTGCAGAACACTGGATTTTGAGGGCAACCTCTGCTTAATTGCCATCATCCCCCCCACCCCACTCTGATTATGTACATGCATCGTTGGGCTTCATGGACGTGGAGAGTGGAGCAAAGGAAGGTTTGGGAGGTACATCTGGCTTTAGCGAGGGCGTGCGTTTCAACCCTGACCTCGTCAGCGAATTGTAGGTGGTAAGACTTGGCTGCCGAGATACAGTCACAGCCTGTGCCTGGGCAGCATGGACCTGTATGGAGTCCACTCGCTGTGGGGCTGGCGGCGGGTTGTCGCCTCGGCCAAAGCTCTGATTGCGGGAGAGGTGGGACGAGTTAGAAGAGTTAGTATTGTTTCTTTTGAGGGTCGACGTCTGGTGGCTTCTTGTGAACGAGTTTGTAGGGTAGCTTCTCTTGTAGTCCACGTTGTAAGCAGAAGAATGTATCTCCAGCCGCTTACTCAGGCCACTCTGTGACAATGAGGCGCTCGGGGGCCCGAGGGAAGCTTCCCGCTGGGGTACTTTTGGTGGCATGCTGTCAAGATTTTCCACCAGGTTAACCCCATGGCTGGGGCTTTTGCTACTGAGATGGTCCTTGATTGTTTTGTACTCAAGGGTGGCGTTCTGGTCCTCCACAGGCATCTGAGCCCCATCACTCATTTTTGGCTGGTCAACGTACTCATGCTGGTAGCCTTGCTGGGCTATGGGCAGGACCACAACGCTGGGAATGTGGCTAGGAGAAGCCCTGAGCGGCAGGTCAGTTGGGATCACAGGAGAGGCCATTGGGGGGATATCTTTCGTGCAGGCATTGATGAGGTTCTGGTTTCTCTCCCATTCCCTGCTGCCACGGCTGGGCTTTCTCTTCTGTTGCAGGGTTGGGGTGGACTCAGGGGTTGGCAGGGCAGCCAGGTCCAGATGGTGCTGGTCAGCTTTGATTAGCATCTTGGCAGTGCTACCTGGGGTAGCCAGCTTGCCATTGTGCATCAAAGGTGTGAGGATAGCTTCAGGCTTTGGCTCCTTGGACTGAGCGTCCCCAAAGAGGCCACTGAGCTTGGTAACGCTGCTCATGGAGCCACGGCGGGAGTGGGTCAGTTCCTTCTCCTTCCTCTGCACAACAGCCACATCTCTGCGGCGGTGGTCGCAGATGCAGTACACAATGATGCCCGAAAAGACGGCCCCCATGACAAAAGCAAGAATAACAGCAATGGCCAACAGGGTGACCGGCACCAGCTGATCGTGACCCTTCAGGTAACTCTCACGAATCACTCCTGCAATAAATAGCATACAGTGGTTAAACAAACAAAGGACAGGGAAAAGCTACTTATTGTTAACTACTCTGTTCAAAGGCATGCCTTAGAAGGTTGCTTTGTGTTTTGCAAGGTGATTTTTCATCAGCTTGCCCCAACCTGGAGGCATACTGTACCTGCCAGCTACATCTTGCATGAGCAGCCTTGGGCTTTTAGAACAGCTTTTGGATCTGGAGTTGAAGACTGTGAAGTTCAGGAGGGGAGAGACAATTTACTCGCAGGGCAAGCGCAACCAGTTTGAAACCCTGGTCCTGGGAAACTCACTCCTGACTTCAGGAGGCAGAGCTATCATTTCTCCTACTCTGACATACTGCTCATTTCTCCTGTCCCTCCATCCAATCTCTCCTCAGCTAATACCGCCTTATTTTTACTACAGTAAACCATTTACACTGAAAAACCTTTAAAAGGAGGAGAGGAGACAGAAGCTCTGTAAATACCAGAGAAGTGCATCCCATATTGTGTAAGGCTTCTTTCTCTGCTCATCAATCCGTTATCTTTGTCATGTGTTTTAAAAGTCAGTGTCACGTACCTGAGCATCAGGAGGATGCTTAAATAACTGGGAAAGATAGAGCAGAGCTGAAATCTATTGAGACTGCTAGATGACTGTCCTTGCTATTTTAATTTTAAAAGCTCTCTCTTGTTTTGAACACATGAATAGCTCAACCTCTGTGCTGCAGCCTGTGCCTTCTCATCTGAAAGCCCTTACTCTAAGGGCCTCACCTTGTCCTGTGCTGTGGTCAGAGACCATTGTCACACCTTACTTGGCCCTCCAAGAGTCCAATGTCAGTGAAGGCATCTTTGGCAGAGTATGACTCCTCCATCTGAAGTCCCTAACTCAGCATCAATCAATACCCTGAATTTCTGAAGAAAGTTGTTTTTCTGATACAATTGGGCACCAAGCCTGCGGCACTAATGAAACACAAGCATGGAGCTTGTAGTTACAAGGAGTTGAAGGAACATCTCTTCCACCTCTTTCTCCAGAGAGGGTCTAAGTGCCAGGGCATTAAAAGCTCCACATGCTTGTCCTTATTACAGAAGAGGCAGCAAGACAGAGAATGTACCTCTAAGGCTCTCCTGAGACTTTGTAAAGATACACAACTTCCATGTCATAGATCAACTCCTTCTAGAATAATGTCTTCTCATGTATTTGGCAGATAAGGTATTAACGGCCCAAAATTAGGAACAATGCAAAATTCTCATCAGCAAACTATGTTAAAAGAGCACTGAAAAGTCGCCACTCTCTCACAGAAACCTTTGCTACAGTATTGCTTCTATAGAATATATTTTTCTGTGCCCGTTTAATTGCAGAATTTAGGTGGCCAAGGGGTATTTCCTTACAAGATAGGAAATTCATATTTTAAAGCAAAACAGCCCTTGAAATCATAAGCCCCTCTGTGTGACATCACAGCTGGTTGCCATAGAAATTATGCTGTGACAAATAGAAGATCATGATTTCATGAGGAGAATAAATAGCAAAAGCAGATGATCATTTAAGGAAATAAGATCTGGCATTCATATAAATGTCTTAATAGTCAAAAAGTAAAGGGGGAGGGGGAAGTAAATCTCAGGAAACAATACATAATTAGAAACAATCTTCCAATTAAGTGTTTCTAAGAAAACCCTCTTTTAAAGCTCAGCAGCTTTTTAAGAGGCAGATTTTTCTACTCTTTGTCATCAGCACTTAACAAACAGCGGTAAAATCCTAGGTCTGTAATTTAAATCCACATGCAAAATTGCTGTATTCAGACCAGAAGCACAGTCTAGTGGTTACAGCACAGTCAGCAGTAACTACATTTCGCTGGAAAGGTGTTGGTCTTCTGCAGACCTTCACCTGCTGATATTTACAGCCTAGACTATGCAGCATTTTGAGGCCCAATTTATTAACACTTGTAAAACTGTCTGTGGTCATTAACTGGAGAATCAGAAATAGTCTTCAATGGGTTGGAAGGACGGTCAGGGAAGAGTTAAGTTTTATCCAGAAATGTATTGCTGGGAGTGGAGTTATAAAAGCTCCAACTGAAAAAGCCTAATTTCATGGACACATTCCATCCAGAAACTTCTAGAAATAAGCCCTTTTGAGCACTGAAGTCCAATGATTTTTGCACAAAAAAGATTCAAAATCCCTGCTCAGTGCCTACTTAAGTCTGTAAGCACCTATGTCAAACCAGCATGACATTTATGTATAGACTGGGGGATAAGAGTCCTGCAGAAAGGGATCTGGAAGTTTTGACTGATGGTAAGCTCAGTAAGAGTCAACAGCGATGTGCCCTGGTGGCCAAAGGGGCCAACTGTAGAAAAATACCAGATTGTGTCCAAAGGTGGGCAATAAAGGTGATCATTCCTGATGAGGAGCAGTTGAAGATAGCCAGTTTGTTCAGCTTAGAGGAGACCTCATTGTGATCTAAAACTTCCTTATGATGAGGAATTGAGAGGAAAGTGCTCATCTTTCTCTCAGGTGTCTGGTGATAGGATGAGAGGGAATGGCTTATATCTTGCATCCATGCCTGACACTTCCTATGCCTGACACTTCCTACTGTCTAAGTGAGGCTGTTCAACGCCCTTAGCCTTCTGTCATAGGTTATGTCTACTCTGCAAATGATAGCCTTAAGCACAAACTTGCATCACTGCATAAAATAGTATTTACATTACCAATGGATATTGAATCATTACATCTCATGTTATAACATTACCACACAGTTCAGACTGAGTGACCATGTATGTTCAAGAAAGGGGCAGCTGAAATTATGTTGCTCACACTGCAGGTTTTTTATCAGCAGAAATTTATAATGGTCTTAAAACAGCCTGATTCCAGCTAGTTCCTCTTGAGCTCAAACCTTCCTGATGTTTATTATGTTTTTACTAGAGTTAAAGGATATTTAACATTAGTGGCTTTGCTCTAGGCAGGTGGATATTCTCTGGACACAATGTCAGATAAATGATATAATTTTATTTTTATCATGGATCACATCCATGTGTCTTTATTTAAGCCAGTAATCCAAACAACTTAAATGAAATAAGATGGGAAAGATTTGACCCTGTTTATGGAATAGTTACAATTAAGTAATGAAAAAGTATGAGGAATGTTTAGCATCACGAAAGGAAATTCTAATGTGAAATAGACTGGTAATTGCAGTCATTGTCAATCAACATCCGAAGCCCTTAATCTCAGTAGCAACTGCCTGCGCAGACTGGGAAGAATAAACAGGTGTATGATCCCAACCATGTTCCCAAAATGAGACAGTTTGAAAGCAATCAGATAGGACAGTGTTCGTGTCTCACTATTCAAAGAGTTAAAATAAATGGAGAAAATAAGAAGAAAGTGTAGGGCTTTCGTGTTTGAAAGTCAAATAAGGTATTTGGGCTCCTAGCTTTGAGGAAATCCCTGCTATTGAAAAGTCTTAAAGCTATATATTATCTGACATCCTTCTAAGACATTATGTATTGGAAAACTAACCGGGCTGGCTGCACAAAATGCTAAGGAACTAGACTGTAAAGCATGATTGGTATAAATATTACTATATTATTTTTATATTAT